AAGAGAATATTTTGGAGATACATATGAAGGTAGTGATAATAATATATCTATAAGTACATCAACTTCAACATCTAGTGATTATATTTCAAGAGTTGAACAAGAATCTCTTGAATTAGTATTTGCAAAATCAGTATTTTGATGTAGTCTTTTTTTATCATTACCAGAAATGAAGCCTATTCAAGATTTGTAGTAGCAAGCAAAACCAGCATTCAAACTTCCTAGTCGAAAAAAACTTTCTGAAAAATTATTAGATAATGTATTTAATGAAACTAAACATAGTGTTGAAACTCTAATAAATGAAAGTATAAATATATGTCTTATAACAGATGGATGGTCGAATCTAGTAAATAAACACTAGACCAACTATATTTTAACAACCTCTAAACCAGTCTTTTTTACTGCACATCTAACCAGTGACATGCAGCAAAATGGAGAGACAATTGCTGAAAATATTGAAAAAGTAATAGTTGAAGTTGGACTATCAAAAATTTCAGCATTAGTTACAGATAATGCCTCCGTAATGAAAAAGGCGTAGTGTTTGTTAGAATTAAGATACCCTAAAATTCTTTTTTTAGGTTGCATATCACATAGTTTGAATCTTCTAGTGGGTGACATTATAAAAATATCATGGTGTGCTAATATCTTAAAGAATGCCAAAGAGATTGTTTTATATTTTCGATCATATCAAATTCCATTGGCTATTCTGCGACGATATCAATTAGCAACTTATAAACGACGAATTTCATTAAAGCTTCCAGTTAAAACAAGATGGGGGTCTTCAGCAATGTGTCTAAATTCAATTTTGCAAAACCAACTTGTGCTTAAAGTTGTTATTATGGAAATTGAATATAGTGATCATAAGATGTTACCTAAATTAATTAAAAGTATTATTAATGATGAAATTTTTTGAAAAAATGTTGAAATTCTTCTATCGATATTAGATAGATTAGTTTTTGGCATTTCATTATTTGAATCTGATACACCACAGTTGGCATTATTTTATCATGATACCATGAACAATTAGAATCAAATGGTAAATATTAATTTTTATATAATTTAAATTTTACTATTATATATATTAATACTAATTTACAATTTAGATTACATTTTTCTAGCTGTAAATAATCAAATTAAAAATCTTTTAGAAAGTCGATGGATAAAAATATATCATCCTGTTATATCATTTGCATATCTTTTGGATCCACAGTATCATGGACAAAAACTTACAGCAAACAGTATGTCAATTATATCACAGTTTATTCAACGATATTATCCAAGTAAAGTGAATACTGTTTGGCGGCAGTTAATTGAATACAAAACCAAAACTGGCATATTCAATCTTCAGTTGGCATGGGAAACTGTCAATAATGTTGATCCTGTTGCTTGGTGGAAAGGGAACTTCGAACAATCAGCACCTGAGTTATGTAAAGTTGCAATTAGAATTCTCTCAATTCCTTCATCATCAGCAGCCTCTGAACATAATTGGTCAGCATTCTCTTATATTCAAGAAAAAAAAAGAGCTCGATTAACAAATGAACGAATATTTAAATTAGTATATATATATAGTAATTATAAACTGTCTCGTCCCCGAAAAGAATTTTCTGATATAACAAATGCTATAGCACGGTTTAATAATAGGCTGTCACAAGATTCAAATAGTCAAGAAGATGCTGAACCATTAGATCCAACAGATGATGACTTAAATGATTCATATGATGAAATATTAGTGGAAGATGGAAGCGAATTGCTTGAAGATTTGGAAGAAATTAATAGTGAAGACACAGATAGTGATGAAGCAGAAAATGATAGATAATTTTTTTTGAATATTGTAAAACTGCTAACAAATTTCATTTAATACATAATACAATTCTGTAATTTTTTTAATTTTGAGCTATTCAATAAATATTTGCTCTTGCGATTTTTGCTAATACTGTATCAATATATTACGTAATTTTACCATGCTAAGTCCAATCATGTGCATCATGCGCATCATGTGGCATGATGCACATAACATGGCCAAAATGCGCATTTTGCCCATCTCTACACCTACCACAATCAATATATAAATAACCGAAAACAAGTTGCTTCGACACCCTTTCCCACTTCGACACATTAGTCTTCGGCCAACAAATTTCTCGACCCAACCTCTCCCGCCACACACTGTAGTCTCCTGATTCTGCCATTTTCCTATTTAACAGCCGGCCTGCTTCGAGCAGGCGGGAAACCACCGGCTGATGCTGCTTCTCGCTCATTCTACTTCTCGCTCGTTCTACTGTTACGATGATACCTGGCGCAATCTCACTTGCTAATTTTCTGGGAGCATATCATCGTTTCAGTTCGATTTACTTAGCTAAATTTACTTAGCTAAAATTACTCATAATGTCATAATGTATTCTGCGGACTTCATGTCCTTTAATTGAATTTATTTCCGGCACCTTTGGCTAGCCGGCATTCATCCAACTATATAACCAGTTGTACCGATGTTTTTCGTCTAAAAATTGGACCGAGTATAAAAGTAAGCTCTGAGTTATTCATCTACTGTAGAGGGAGGAAATTGCCCACCTTATAATTAATGTTATTGGATATTTCAAATCCAATAATTATATATTATTATTCTTCTTGTAATGACAATTAGAGTAGTTTGAATTATCATTATTCTTGTAATTCCGTTATACAGTATATTTAAATATTAGTTAAGTCGCGATATTTTCCCTCGATAAAAGCAGACTTTTAGAGTTTAATACTTTGAAAAACATTTTCAAAACCTCGTGAGCGCCTCAACTTAGACAAAACTCACGTTGAATTTTCACAATAAATAATTCTTGTTAAAATCGGAATTAAAATAATTATCCAATTAAATTGTACTCTCATCGTGATTTTTCGATGACATGACCAAGAAAATCATTAATCAAAATAGTGTTATAAGTCGATAAAAGATTAAGAGACTTAGTCGACTTAGCCGGCTAATTCAGTCGAGTTTTTGAAAGTCGGCTTAGTTATTTTACTAAAAATATAATTAATCATTTTTCATTATTACATATTTAGAGTTATAGAACTCGGATTCAGAATCCACACAAGTGGATTTTGGATCTTAAAACAATTTATATATAAACAGAATTTATCATAAATCATTTATTTTGCAAATTTCTTTGATCGATTTAATTGGTCAAATATTTTAAGCCTCGACTACTAAAACTAATTTGGAAGTATATATTCCCGACGTATAACGTGCCCTCAAGACGAGTTCTAGAACTTTTACACCGCATACAAGATTATTACCGGGTCACAAAAACTCATAAGTGAAGTTCTTTGATTGGTTAATTTTTGAAGATCTACACGTGAATATTAGCCAATCAAGTTACATAAATTTTTTTTTTTTTTTTTGACTTTCTCTCAGCAATCTGAGAGGCGCTTGTAGCGCTTTATTATTTACATAAATTTTAAATTCCGCTACTTTATCAGTTATACTATCGCTATTGGATGAAGCTTATAAACCGTTACATTAATATATATTGAGATTATATAATTATGTAGTGTCTATATCAGATATTAAAGTTTTCTTTTTATTTTAAAAAGTAATCTAACATAACATAATCAAATCGTTAAGAAAAAAAAAAGGTCAATACTATTCACTTTCTTTGTCTTTTTATGTATATATGGCGCATTTGCATATAGTCAAGTGAAGTAAATTATCAAATACGTACGTAGCAGTAATATTTGATAAGAATTGACAGAGCATTATAAATATTTCTCTTTTAAGTCAATCTTATAATCTTGGGTAAATGAAAATTTTAAATGAGAATAAACCAATAAACGATGAGATACTGATCCAAATTAGTTTTGTTTATGCATAACGTTGTTAAAATTGATTTGTTATAAATGGAAACTTCAGCATCAGTCGTGCATACTGTACGTTTTTATTAATCTAAGATGCAAATTTTTATTGTTTTCTAGAAATATTGTTGGAAAAATTATATCAAATAGAAGATAAAAATGACGTTCGAAAATTCAAATTTTTGTCTTACAATGATTATTTATTATAGTAATAACGTAAATGAGATAATAAATTAAGCATATCTATTAAAAATTGATAATCAAATACTAGATTTAATTATTTAAAACTTACTAGTAATCGTTCCATCCAATTATTCAATACGTGGTGGCTGAGGACTTGATTTTATTTGATTTAATTGGCGTAAAATTTAAGCAATTTCTGAATGTATAAAGAATTTAGTTTTCAAATTATTTAGATCAGTACTGTCAACATTGATCAGATCTATTATCATTATACTAGTCATGTAGAACCTTTCGTAAACTAGTGTTAAAATGCTTAAAAAAAAATCAGGAATATTCTGCATAATGTATCTACCCTTATACGTATCATTCATTACATTTAAAATACTATTCTTGTATTATAAACTAAATCATTAATTTATTATATAAAAAAAATTTTCTTTAAAACAAAGAATTATATTTTAGCATTATAAACTGTTTGGTATGATTTTCCTGAATACGGGGTTTTAATTCCGTGACTCGAAGAAATTTTTTGTTGGCATTCTTTAAAATGCCTTATTTAGCTCATTATATTAATACTGAAAAGTTTGATGAACAATGTCGATCAAATAAATTATCGAAAATAACCAATTTGTAATTATTGTTGTCTTCATAAAGAAATAATCATAACCCTACTTTTTTATTATTTGTTATAAAAGGGATCAAAAAAGAATAATATATAAAAATTTTTTTTTAAAGAAAATAAAATTCGCATACAATTATTCCCCAAGTTTGTCTTATTTCTTTTCATTGATGGAATCAAGTCAATATCAATATAAAAAGTCACCTCCATTGCCTCCAAAAGAAAAATCTAAACAAGACAATATTGAAGAAATTATTATGGTGGAAAATAATATTGAAGAAAACACAATTACAAAGAAGATTGACTTAACAAAAGGAAATCTTGTGATAAATTGTCCTGTACCTATTCGCGAACTGTTTGCAGGTGTTGTTCCTTATGTTGATGGACAGGAATTTACAAGCCTAAGGTATACCGCCTGCACAAGCGATCCAGATGATTTCAAGAAAGAAGGATTTACACTTCGTCAATCTCCAAAAAGTACAAAATTATTTATTGCTATAACCATGTATAATGTAAGGAAGTTATTAATGAGAAATATAATAATAATTTAATTGATATTAATTGAAAGTATTAAATAAATATTAATAGGAAAATGAAATTCAATTGGCTAATACTCTTTATGGTATTACGAAAAATATTAATTACATTTGTAATAAAAAGGTAACTTTTAATTATTATTATTATTACGTATTATTTTTTTTTTTAATCATATCACTTATAACAAATTTCTTTTTGGATTTCATTAATAACTTTTAAAATTAGGATCGTCAAGACGCGTGGAAAGAGGTTGTCGTATGCATAATTGCCGATGGTCGTAAGAAAGTCAGTCAACGCGTTTTAGCTTATTTGGCAGTTCTTGGCATCTATCAAGATGGTATTATGCAAACTAATGTAAATAACAAAGATGTTAATTCTCATATATTTGAGTATACAACTCAAATTGCAATTAATCCTGTAATGAAAATGAAAACCGCAAATATTGATGAAGGAATTGTACCAGTTCAACTTATCTTTTGTCTTAAAGAAGAAAACAAGAAAAAAATTAATTCTCATCGTTGGTTCTTTAATGCCTTTGGTTCAGTTCTCGAACCTGAAATTTGTGTTCTTGTTGATGTTGGTACTAAACCAGGTTAGATAATAATTATAGTTTAACTTAATTTATTAAAAGTTAAATAACATTCAAATTTTTAAAGGCGACAGATCTATTTACGAATTGTGGGAAGAATTCAAGAAAGATCCCAAAGTCGCAGGTGTTTGTGGTGAAATAGTTGCTTCTATAGATAAAGGATGTAAAGGATGTTTTAAGTTTCTTAACCCAATCGTGGGTGCTCAAAATTTTGAATATAAAATGTCTAATATTCTGGATAAGCCATTTGAATCTGTATTTGGATATGTTACCGTTTTGCCTGGTGCTTTCTCCGCTTATAGATATATTGCCCTTCAAAATACCATAACTGGTGAAGGACAACGTGAAGAAGGTCCTCTTGCCTCTTATTTCCAATTTGAAAAAGATGATCTAAATACTCCCGTTGAAAGTATTATTACCGCTAATATGTACCTTGCCGAAGATCGTATTCTTTGCTTTGAATTGTTTACGAAACGTAATGATGGTTGGTTATTGCGCTACATCAAATCTTCTCAAGCTAAAACCGATATCCCTGAAGATCTACCTGAATTAATCAGTCAACGGAGACGTTGGTTAAATGGTTCTTTCTTTGCTAGCTTTTATGCTATTACACACTTTTATTACGTTTTCAGAAGTGGTCATTCCATCTTTCGTAAATTTATCTTTTGTGTCGAGATTCTATATCAAGCACTTAATCTTCTTTTTTCATGGTTTGCCTTGGTATGCACTAATTATTCATTTACTGTATGCAGTATTCTATTTTATATTATTTTTAATCAGTTTTATCATTTTTATCATTTTTCTAGGGTAATTTATATTTGACCTTTTTTATTTTAGGTTCTTCTTTTCAAAGTCAAGCTGGAAATAAATGTATATATCTTTATATCCCAAATTTTAAACATATTTTTTTTTGTATTAAGTTGACTAATTATCAATTAATTAATTACTAAAAATTACCAAGTTACCTCCTATCTGTTATATGTACTGGATTATATTTACTGTGGATTGATTATTATACAATTCATCATTTCTATGGGCAATAGACCTCAAGGGTGATTATTAAGAAATTTTTTTTTATTTACTCATCAATAATTCAATAATTTAAACAAGTTTTCAAATTTATTAAATTATTATTTATTTTTTAATAGCTCTAAATGGTTTCATGTTATTTCAATGGTGACATTTAGTGGTGTCATGATTTATTTAACATTTACAGGATTTTGGCTCACAATTTCCGCCATATTAAAGTATATAAGAGAAAATGATAAAAGTTTTAGTTTACAACTTTTACTTGATAATTTCAAACTTAGTAGTATTATAATTTCTTTAATTACTACATATGGTTTATACTTTATTTCAAGTTTAATGATGTTGGACCCTCTTCATATGATTACTTGTATTATCCAATATATTTTGTTAATACCATTTTACGTTAATATTTTAAATGTTTACGCTTTTTGTAATATTCATGATGTCACGTAATGTTTTATTTTTTATCTTTATTGTTTTATTTTAAATACATTTACAAAGATGCTAATTTTTTTTATTTTTTTTACTACAATTTTATTACATAGTTGGGGAACCAAAGGCTCATCAGAGACTAGTACAAATAAAGCAATATTTGTAAAAGAACAAGGAGGTATTAAAGCCAAAGTTACAATATCCGATGAAAATACAATTAAACGAGCACATAAAGAAGCATGGGATGAATTAAATAGAAGAGAACGTAAAGTAAAACGAAAAAGTCCTAAAGAAAAATTAGAAGATTCACAAAAATTTTTTAGAACTTTAGTATTAATTTTATGGATTTTTACTAATTCTATATTAATAATTTTTATTAAAACTAATTTATTAGATTTAATTATTAATGAACAAATTCAATCTCAAAGATATGATTCTTATGTTATTTTTATTTTTTGGTCAGTTACTGGTTTAACGGTTTTTAGATTTTTAGGTAGTTTTACTTATGTTTTTTCTAGATTGTTTTCTATGTTATTATGTGGTTGTTTTTGTTGTAGTAATTAATTTAAATAATATAACTTTATAATTAATTTAATTGTATAAATTTATATTTTACTTGAATTTTATTTTATAATATAATTTATTTTTTGAATATTTTAAAAATATTTTTTGTCACACCTTGTTGTAAAAAAAATGCCATGAAATAAATTCAATTGCGTACTTAAAGTTTACAGAATATATTTACAACTGACTTTACTTATTCGTGCAGGTAGCCAAAAATGGTTTTACCACAAAATCCCGAAAGACATATTCCCGAAAGGACCTAATACCGACAAGGTTAACCGGCATTAGTTATAATGTTGGCCAATTTAGTCGGTATTATACTCTTTCGGGAAAATGTGTTTTTGGGATTTTGTGGTAGAACCGCCAAAAATGAGGGTTTGCTAAAGCGGAATTAATAAACTATCGGAAAAATAATCATGGCTAAGAATCTATTTTATTGGTCGACCAAATTTAGATTTCATGTGAAAATTGACTACGTAATTAATCTTTAAAGATATATATGTATTACTTTTGCCATATGCGATCATATGGTGTAATTTTATTTCTTGTATGTGGCCTAAAGTTGAAAGCATATGAAAATATTAAAGATAAAAATACTTCGTTTTTGAAATGTTATGGAATTTCAAAAGATGAAGACTCTAAAGATTATATTTTTGTTTTGCAATATGCAAGAAATGAGTTCTTTACGTAAAAATCTTCATTCTATCGTAAAAATGAAATGGAAAAATAAATTAAATTTGTTACATTGTATTGCTTCTGATCTTCAGATAATTCATTCTCAAGGTCTTATTCACAAATATTTACATAGTGTTAATATTTTTTTCAAGATCACTTACATAGTACATATATCGCAGATTTAGGACTTTCAATATCGTTTAATATAGAATTAAAGAAAATTCCTAATGGAGTTTATGTTGAATTTTACCATTCCAAAAACACTTAATGGAGGTATATATACTGCAAAATTTGATATTTATTCTTTTGGCATTATTATGTGGGAAATTTTGTACGGGAGACTTGTAAATTATAATCAAATATTTGGACCACAATTTCAAATAAAATATGTATTAATGGATTACGTCCACCTATTATTGAGGATACTCCACATTGTTATATAAATTTAATGAAAGAATGTTGAGAGAAATACGTCTGTCAGCTGAAAAAATTTGTAAAATTTTTGTAGAATGGCAATGTAATGAAAAAATTTTGTTGGAATTATCTGAATCTGAAAAAAATATTAAATAAATTTTATTGGAATTTATCTGAATCTGAAAAAATATTGAATAATTATAACATTGTACACGAAAATACAAACTCGAAAATATTAAGTGGAAGCAAATTTATTCCTTTTACAGATTCATTATACGAATATATAGACAGTAGACAAAATGATTTGGTATTGGTGATAGAAGATAGTAAGGTTATTTATATTGATTGTCCGGAACATAACGAAGAGCTATATCGTAATTAAGTAAAGTATGTTTACATTATAATAAAATCAGATTGAGAATTTTAGCTAAAGAAGCGGGTATTTTCTAGATTAATTATATAAAGTACAACTTTTTCTTAAATTTAACATTAACTTTCTTGCTTTAAGGCATATATTGCCATAAATTATTTCTGTTGTATTTTTAATATGCACACTTGTGAGTCATATGACTTCTAAATATGATGAGATGTTATTTTAGCATGAATTTTTAAATCTTTTGTGCTATATTTTTTTATGATTTACTTTTTATTGTTAGAAATTTTATTAATAAAGAGATTTAAGTAGAATTTATATTTCTAAATTATATCAGTAGAAAATATTCTCATAGACAATATTCAATCTGGATATAAAAGAACTAAATAGTTGAAAGCTTGAATTCAACTAGTTTAAAAAAAAAATAATTACTAAAATGCCGTTGATAAATATAATCAAATAAGTTAGCTTGCACTTAATATAAAATAGAATTTATATATCGCTTATTTTGAAACAAATACATCGCCTATTTCTTTCGGAATAGGTGTCTGATTTTTAATTTTGAAACTCCTAATGCTCGAAACTCATCGATTCCAATTTCTAGTTATAAATAACAGTAAAACATTAAAATCAGCCAATTGAATCACAAGAAATGTGTATTTAATTAGTGATGCCGACTAAATCACTATATTTTAGGTTTTGTCACATGATAAAACTAATTTTAAGAGTTAACTTTTAAAAAATAATATTCAAATAAATTTATCATTTTCTTATTTCATTGTTTTATTGCTAGTTTTCATATTTAAGCCTAAATCTAAGCTTAAACAGTATAAACATATAACGTAGCTAATTTATATTTTATCTTCGGCATCACTATATTTAATCTTCGCAGTTATTTGAAATCTTTAAACAAAAATACATATCGATATACATTTCTTGAGATTCAATTGGCCGATTTAACATTTTTACAACCACTAAGACCCATATTTATTACTGCAAAACTTTAATTATAATAAATAAAGAAAAAGCTTTAATAGTTATTGGTCAGTCAGTCGGTTATAACCATCGGTCAATAACTGCAGTCAAGAGGCTATAATCGGTCATAACTGACCGATGACCGAACGTCTCTAGTGCACCCACAAAAAATTTTATCCCCGGTAATTTTGAAATCAGGATCAGGTGTAAGGTGAAAATCACGAATTTTCAAATTTTGCTTATGAAATTACTTTCTGCGTTCTAACAAAAAAAATTTTTCGCAAAATTTTGGGTTAAGAACTGCTTCGCTATTGCACTTTGCTAACTTCTCTAATTCTAAAGTTTTTTTTTTTAAAAAAAAAAAAAAAAATATTCACGTTACACCTGATCTTGCGTACCTAAGTTTAATAATACCAAGGTTGATGCTTGAGAACAGCCCTAGTTTTAAATTTTTAAAAAATGATTAGGATGTACTTTACTCTTAAATTGACGACGATGACAGTTTGTAATTCTAAAGTCGAGTCCGAAATAAAGTGCAAACGAGGTCATAACTAAAACCAGTGACCTCAAGCATGTGATACAAAAATAAACATTTGATAAAAAGTGGCACATTGTTTTCTTTATATTGATGTATAATACATATTATTGGATCACAACATCTTCTAATGTAGCGGTAGTATTTGGAATTTCTTTTTTAGCTTATAAAAGTGGCACATTATTTCTTATGTGTTATGGCCACAACATTTTTTAATAAAACATTAGGATTTCCTTCTCCGCCAATTTATGATAATGAAGCATTTGTACGTATGTAAATAAAAACTCAAATACGTAGAGTAGAAGTACCAATAAGTAAAACATTAATTAATATCATAGAATTTGGTTATTTTACAATGATAGCTATTTCTTATGTCCGGAAAATTTGTCCAGAGTGCATATGTGTATGCATTCTTATCATTAACGTTAATTTTAAAAATACGTTAGGTGTGACAATATAAACATTTAATTACATATTCCAATTATATACTACGTATCATATATATATATATAACTTCAAAGTGAAAACCTTTCAACGGAAATAATCAATTAACTCTTTCTTTTTTTTAAAAGAAAGAGAACGACAACTTATATATCCCAACCAAATTTGTTGCATATTTCTTCGCCTTTATTGCGTAAAGAAAAACTTTTAACGATAAATTGAAGTATCCTTATCATTTATACGTACCGTTGTTTCATAAAATTCTTTATTTTTTTATAATCTGTTCAAAGTAAAAATGCAACAACAAACATTCAACGGACAACCACCAGAATATACTGATAATAGCGCGGAGCGCAAAACTTTCAGTGGTTGGGAATATGATAATCAGACATTTAATAGATATAATGTATTTGATATCAAGGTTAGCGAATGCGAACTCAAAGTTCGATTAGGTAAGTATTACTATTACATCTTTTCAAGAACTTTAAATGAATAAATTGAAATTAATTAATAAACATTATTCATTATCAATAGCTTTTGTGCGTAAAGTTTATTCAATTTTATTCGCACAAATCTCTATGTCAACCGCTGTAGCCGGATTGATGATGTATAATAGCAATGTCAAATCTTGGGTTCAATCAAAGTATGAAATTTATATTTATTATCATAATTAAAATTATGACCTACATTAAAATGAAATGCTAAATATGTAAAAAATTTCTTGAATTTTATTTTTTAGTGGTTGGGCCATGTTTGTTTCTTTTATTTTAACATTCGTTCTTTTAATCACCCTTCAAATAAATCATCGCTCTTATCCTAAAAATTTTGCTCTGCTTGCTGCCTTCACGCTTGCTGAAAGCTACTCAATCGGTACTGCAGGTTAGTATTAAATCAACTTTGAATAATTTATTTCTTTTCTAAATTCTAATAATCTAAATCTATTTTTTATTTAAAGTAACCTATTATGATTATAATGTTGTATTACGAACCTTGATTGTCACATCTGGTCTTTTTATTGGTATTGTGTTATATACAATGCAATCTAAATATGATTTCAGTGGAATGTTTCCCCTGTAAGTTATTATAAATCAATGAATAGCCTTTTTTACGAATTTTTCTAATATATTTATTGGTTATTATTTCAAATTAGCCTTTATAATGGACTTTTGCTTGTTCTAGGAATAAGCATTGTCGGAATATATATACCATTCGGTGGTGTTTTTGATTTTATTTTTACTATCATTTCTATTGCTCTATTTTGTGCTTTTATTGCTTATGATACTTTCGATGTCATGAAAACAAAACATCCTGAAGAATATATTCTTGCTGCCGTTGACCTTTATTTGGATTTCGTTAATCTATTTCTCAGAATTCTCAAGGTTTTGAATAATTCTAATAAGGACTAGAATATCAAGTTACCTATAGAACTGTATGTCTATATATTATACGATATTTCTTTTTTTATTATTCGTATATTATTTATCAATATTTTTTAGTTTTTAAATATTCTAATAATATTAATATTGGAGATATTATTATCCATGGCCCGGATTGATCTATTGTAATACTATAACTATGGTTCAAGTGGTCTATTTACAATAAATCATTATATCCAAGTATTAGGAAACGGAACCATTGAGGTCCGGAGCTTTAATATTTAAACTATTTATCAATTATATTTTTTTTTGTTCTTGACTTGGAATTCGAGAAACTTTTTTGTATGTTAATTCATGATTAAATTCTGATCTTTACTGTTATGCGTGTTTCTTAATTTATATCTATTATTTATTGACGTTAAGTTGGGGTATCCAATGTACTATGTAGATCAAATATATGTATAGTCTCATATAAAAATTACTATTAAATTTTTTTTTTT